TGTTGGCATTTCTATGGTATTTCTAGGTTGTGGTACGTTACCCATCTGTCTATGGAATTAATTCCAAATGACTTCTTTTCTGCCTTCATATCTGAAAAAATAACTTGATGTGCCCCAACCAACTGCTCTCAGTTCCCAAATGGCAACGCTGCATGGTCTGTGAGTGTAGCACATGCGAGACCCGGCCTCTCTACATCTGTGGCCAACTAACCACATTTCTGTGGGTGAATCTCTTCATCCTGCTGTGCCTCTGACTCTCATCCTGTATTTTGAAGCTTATTTTCATTTAGCCATAAGCTCTTTATGGATTGCAGCTCTGGGCTTGCAAGGTTTGAGTCCATGCAGCTCAAGAACTTTTGCAAGTTGGATTGTCAAGTCCAGGAGCAGAACCAATACTGAATGACCTAGGTGCCTGCTCACTGAATTTGTAATCCAGTGTTTACTGTGAGCAGCTGCTTATTCATCCACACAGTGAAATATAATAAGTTAAAATTGCTAAAACAACTGCTGAGTGCAAACAGCAAAAAATATAGCTAGGTGGCTCACAGACGGAAATAAATAAATATGCAACATAAATTAGGCCTTGCAGATATTTGTTTCAGCTACAGTAATAACATTCATGTAGGCCGGGTTAGTTGATCTTATAGCCATTAAAAAAGAAAAAAAATGTATTCTATTCTAAGAAAAACAATTCCCAGGAAATTAATATTTATTCAGATCTGTAGCATTACTAATCCTTTATGTATCTTTGCAAAACTTTTGTTTTTCAGTGTATTCAGTAACGTTTCTATGGCTAACTAATGCAGTGGTTTTATTGCATGCAGAAAGTACATGGAATCTTTAAAAGCAACCCCATCGCTGCCCTCCTCCTGGCACAAAATGGGGTCTCTTTCCAAGGGGCAAAACACTGAAATGTTTCATTTCACTTGTAATTGTGACTAGCTCTAGGTCTCTGAGATGACCAGCAGCATTTCTTCATCTCAAACCCAGCTATCTCCTCAAATGCTGTGCTGGGAGGAGAGGATGACAACAGATGCAAAGCATCCATGCTGTCTCACTGAACCACGCTCCCTTGCTGTTGTAGCAGAAAGAACAGGTTTATTAACATTTCTGTTTCTCCCATTCAGGGAAAAAAAAGGATAATAGTAAGATGTCAAAGAAAATACTTGTTGATAACAGGAAAATATTTACTTCTGCTTCCATTCTTTCTGTAGGCAAAGCCCAGTAATTTTCCTTGTATGTTGTCCATACCATGCATTTTGAAAAAGAAAGAAAAAGGTAGAAAGAAGTCTCCTAGTGCTTAAAGCAGAGCTTTGGGGGTGGCTGTGGGCACTTCCATCAGCACAGCACAGCACAGTGTGGGACATGGAGTTGTGGGCTTGGGGTGCTTGTAGCCCTTTTGAGCAGAAAGAAAGTTTGTTGATATTTCTGTGCATTGGGAGAGCAGTAGAAAGTAGAAAATTCTATTTACAGAAGGGTTCTTTGCTGCCTGTGATGAGCTATGCTACAAAACACTGGTTGAACTGCCACATTAAAATGAGACGTTTATTTTCAATCATTTCATATAGCTTTTACCCCAGCAAAAAGAGTCTCTAAAACAGCCTTTTTTTCCCCTTGCATTTCTTGTCATTAAAATAAAACCCCATATGAGATGTCCATTATACGTTGGAGACGGCTTCCCTCAGAAACAAACAGACCAACCACATAGAAAAAAAATAGCCCACAATATCTTCATGTAAACTGTTTCATATACACAAATTATGTCCTACTTTGGACACTTGTCATTCCCCAAGGTTTATATGGTTTTCCTCATAAGCTCAACTTCTTAACAGAAATGAGAACTGCTCACCAGCCCTCCTTGAGACCTGGAAAGTATAATTAAGTATCTTTCATTTTTCCCAGCAGCTGGGAACTGTCACAGTTGTTCATGACACAGCTCATGATACAGTTATGTTCCAAAAGGTTGGCTGATTTATTCTTTAATTAGAAAAGCTAAATCTTCGTTCATAGGTTGCTGTGAAAGTAATGACTTCTGTTTATTTCCGTGGGAACTACAATCAATACAAAGAGCACAATAACACCTTTTGACAGAGCATATTTCAGATACAAAGCACTATTATTCAACACAGTTGCCACCATTAGCTGTGCTTTTTTGCCAGTGATGAACAAGAGCCTGCATGCTGCACTTGTAAAAGTTTGCACCGGTGGAGATGACCTGTAGTCACTGTTGTCATTCTTGACATTCTTCTACTAACTGCTCTGGAACATCTGGAGTCCACTGCATGCTCCCTCATCCAGCCTCCAATATTTCCTTTCTTTGACCTCAGTTGTGTTGTGGGGCAGGGAGAAGTTCTTCCTTTCTTTGTGTGCTCAGAGAGTCGGGTGGTTGCTTTTGTTTGTAAACAGCAATTGCCTCAAGAGGAGTTGCATAAAGGAATATATGAGCTGAATAAGATTTTGGAGAATTGACCTCTTTATTTGATGCTTTGTACCAATGCATTTTCTGGTCTTGTGCTATTTATTTATTTATTTATTTATTTTGCCATTTTGACTATTAATTTATCTAAATTTAAAATAAATTAAAGTATGTCAGGACTGCATTTTTTTGTGATGAGAACATGTTAAATAGTAAGCAGAGAAAGAAAATGGGAGAAATGATGAATACGGAGCGTTAGAAGCAACTCTGCTTTTGAAAAATAGGTATTTAGAAATGAAATAAATGGGGATAAAAGAAAAACAGGTTATTTTTCTGTGTGTAGGTAATAACCCTGTATGAGTGTCTTGCTCCAGTGCTGTTTGCTAACTAATAAGGAGAATTTCAAAGATCTTGTAAGCACCCAGTGGTTTTTCATAGAAATGCCACAAAACCCATGAATAGTACTGTATTTTAAAAGATTTCTTAGATTGGTACATGAAAATTCTCAGTTGTTTGTGAAGAAACAATGAAAGATGTGGGAGGGTAAGGAGCCAACTGCTGAATTACCAATTCCACCCATTGAGGTGGATGAACCGTACTAGCTTGAGGGAAACATAAAATATGGTTTATTGTCTCTGCTCTGATTTCTTTGCTTCTACCAAGTACTTTTTTTCCCAAATCTTAAATTTTATCACTGCATATAGGAAAATGGCTCTGCATTTGGTCATATGAATTACCATGAATAGATCTCCATCGTGCCGAGGACCAAATCACTGCAGAGAGCAGAAACAGAAACACAGCTACATGTAGCTGTTTAAATTTAAGCATCCTGTGTTTGGTATTTGGCTTTCATTCGACCAGAATTATTTTACAGGATGTGCTGTGCTTCTCTACTCAGGCACATGCCAGCGTCCATTTCGCTTCCATTAATATATAACTCTTAATCAAAGTCAGCGTTCTGACTGCTCTGCACCCCATCTTGTCAGTCATTAAAGCTCTCAAAAGGACCATACTTTGCCCTCTTTGTATGTCAGATAATGTAGTCTGGGTCCTTTGAAACCCTAGTAGGACACATTTCTCTTTTCTATCTGCTTGCTTGTATCTCTGAGGACTGCAGTCCATCTGTGCAAACAAGCACCTGCGGGAATCGTATCTATAAGAAAAAACACAGGCTTTTCATGGCATTCATAATCAGGCTGAGAAATTAAGCATCTATGTAGGAAAGGTCAAGCTTGACAATGCCCTTAAACCAATGGAAACTATTCCTAAGATTTTGTTATTATTTTTGGCCAAAGTGATTAAACAGAGCTTGAAATCTTGTGTCAGGACAAAAATAAACAAATAATGACAAAGCTGAAAGATCTTGGATTTACAATCAGTTAAGGCCCGTAATCAGTTAAGACCTATAAACCCAATTATCTTTGGATCAGAACTCCCCATTTTCAAAAGACCTGTGTGGTTGTTTAAATTTGTTATCACTTCATAGCAGTGAACGACATGAAGATTTTAATTAGAGCCAGAAGCTTATACAAGATGAGATTAAAATAGAGAAGAAAAAACTTAATATAATTTATCAGTTTGGGGATTATCTTACAGCATGATCCAATTAATTTTTTAGGGATACTGTTCTGAATTATATTTGTCAGTGCAGAAAGACACAGACCCATTGCTGACAACATTTTCCCAAGTTGAAAGTATATTTTAATAAGTGAACTCTGCTTACCCAATGGCAAGGAAGTTTGTGCAGCTATATGGAAATCACTTTAATGGACACAGATTTGCAGGTTTTAGACTGAAAACTAACCTGGAGGAAATCTTTGTGGTGTTCTGTGCTGATTAAAAATAAATAAAATATTGTGAAGCACTACAGCAGTTTGCATTTTCCCTTATGAGTAGCTCTTCAATTTTTTGAAATTTATTCCATGAGAGATGGTAGGATTAAGTCTTTTTAAATTATTGATTCAGCAAGGGGTTCCATTCGTTTTGCTGTCCCACACAGTTCTCTGTTCCTACTTTGCACAGCTAACCCATGCTAGAGGTATCACACATAGGAAAGTGAATCGGTGCCTCTCCTTGGGCTAGCATTAAGCTGCTTTGAACTATCAGGACTTTGGTCCTGGACTTCATTCAGAGGGATGACCACATCCTAATGATCAGGTTCATTTTTCATGCCAATTAATGGACATTTGCATGGGCAATCTCTGTGGCAGAGATGTGAGATGAGGAAAAGAGGGTGGGCAAGAGGATGAAAGTGGAGTAAACAGCTTGGAAAAACTGCATGGAGTAAGACCAGGGAAGAAGATGGTGGGAAACAGGAGGGATCTTTGGTATGAACAGGAAGAAGCAGTGGGAAGAGCAGAAACTCCTGCAAATGCAGTTAGAAGTAGATGTGATTTCCTATTCATGAAGGGAAATGTGTACTCACTCAAGACAGATTTGCAGGTAAAAGTGACTCAGATCTGCAATCAAGTGAGTTATTTTTCCCCAAGCTGAAGTTCTGCCAGCTGTGGCATCTAATCATCTCTGGCTGTGCCTGTAAAGTATTTAAAGGCAATTCTGATACCAGCTGCATCTGCCCATGGTGCCCAGCAACTTGCACTGCCTGAACTGTGATTTCTGCATGGGCCCAGCCTGCCCTTGCAAGAAAGTTGGGTGGATCAGGACCTTGGGTGCCCACAGCTTTGTGAGTTCTTTGTTCTGCAGCAGGGACTAGAAAACGAGACAGGTGAGGAGTGACTGATGGACCTGGGGTTGTTTAGTTTGGAGGAAAGAAGACTGAGGGGAGACCTTGTTGCTATTTACAACTATATGAGTGGATGTTGTGATGAGGTCTTGTTTTTTTCTCAGGTGACAAGTGATGGGACATGAAGTAACAGCATCAAATTGCACCATGAGGAGTTTAGATTGGATATTGGGAAGAATTTCTTCAAGGAAAGGATGGTTAGGCTGGAATGGTCTACCTACTGAAGTGATGGAGACCCTTTCCCGGAAGGTATTTAAGAGATGTATGGACGTGGTGCTTAGGGACATGATTACAATCAGACAGGATGACCTTAGTGGTCTTTTCCAACCATAGTGATTCTCTGATTTTATGATTTAGTGGTGGACTTGGTAGTGTTCTGTTGGCAGTAGGACTTAATGATCTTTTCTAACTTAAATGATTTTGTGGTTCCATGATTCAATTTGATATTGCTAGAACAGTGCACCAATGATGGACTTTGGGGATGATCAGCATCTGCTGAGATTATATAGAAAGAGGTGAGAAAGACAGACTTCACAGTGCCTGCCTAAGTGCCTAACTGTATGCTTAAAATTTGATGAGATGAAGTTTGGTGTGTGATATGCCTGTACACACACACACACACACACACACACACACATACATATATATAATGAATTAGAGTGTTTCCTTTTGTATGTGGTAGCAACCGTACTAGGAAAAAGTATAGTTTTGTTCCCTACTGTGGCATCATAAACAGATAGTCTAATGGTTTAGTAAAAATTGGTATTGCATTCAAATTTGTGGAAGACTAGACTGGATCTGTTCTAGAAGTACAGTTGTTTTAAACCTGCTTAGTATTTCTGAGGTATCACTGCTGAAGAATGAACACTTAACTTCCTCTGTTGCAGCTTTTTTTCTTCTTGAAGGTATAAAACATAATATATTACAACATTTTGGGCAACGTGTTTGTATTACTCATATCAGATTATTTGTAAATGGGGAAATAATTTTTTTCTACACAAAAAAGAAAGTAATTTTTCTACGCTTACAGATCAGACTTGCATATTATCTTGGGTTTCTTTATTCTTATTAGGAGTTGTGTCAATATGAAATAATGCTTTGTACTACTCTCTGCTGTAACAAACGCAGGCCACTTCATCCAGCTAAGTATTCATTTAACAGACATTCCTGTCTTCTGTTTTCTTCACCTTTTGTAAGATTTCAGCAAGGAGATGAACTAGTTCCTCTAGGCTCGCTTAATGGTCAATGGAGAAAAATAGGAACTTGTATGATGCTATTCAGTTGCTCTGTTTTGGACATTTACTTGAGAATGAGATAAATCATGGCCAAAAAGTAACTGTTTCTCTCCAGGAATTATACAGGGAGTATGTGCTACTGGATCATAGAGATTTGGTTATGAGTTCACCTTTGTATTATGCATACCCACGTTTACGTATATACATATAATCTAATTGCTTATAATAATTTCTTGGTCATTCCCCAGACTTTTGCTCTCTTTCTTTGTGCAACTATATTGCTAGGCTGAAATTCATTCTTGTTTTGGTGAGTGAAAAGCAATTGGAAATATATTAATATATATTTGTGATCTGATGTAGCTTCCTCCGAATTGCTTTTGGATTTTGTTAGTGCTACTGCATTTGGGATGTTAGCTATTTACAAGTCAACACTTATTTGGGCCATCTATTGTTCACGTTTTTCCTGGTATATGTGTTGTATGTGCAGGAAAAGTGCAGGTGCACAAGGACTCAGGCTAGTCTGATCAAGATGTATGTAGAAAGGAAGAAAGACTACTTAGTTATTTTCCCTACTGAGAGCTCTGTTACACAAGCAATTAAATTAACTGTCCTGGCATGTCTTTGAGTCTTTTTTTCTCTCTCATTCTGTCTTTTTAAGATGTTCCCATTCTTCTTCATTCTCAGATTTCCAAATGTGTGAACAATTAGTGTCCTCTGATGTTCGTTAAACATTGCTGGGCTGTAAATTGAGATTCAATACCATGTTTCCCGAAGTCAGAGCAGTCTGGGTCATTTAAAAAAGACTGGGTACACAGTGTGGAGGGTTGTAACTTGCCGATCCTGTCACAGATAAAAGCTCCTTTCCAGTGTTCTTCTAATGACTCCTGCAGTATCTTTGATATCTGGAGAGTTTGTGGCCATTTTCTTTAATGCCCTGAATATTATGAGTTGTAAGTGCTTAGTTTCTTCATGTTTATCGTCTTGACTGAAATATCTTTTTTTCTAGAGAGGAGAAAAGCCTGGATGCCTGGAGTCTCAGTGATGCAGAAAATTTGGATGGAACCTCACTGGAAGAGCATCCTGAAGTTATGAAAAAGCAAATCTAAACCTTTAAGAACATTTCTACAAATCAGGTTCTTCAGAAAAGAAATTGTTATTGCAGAAATTTTCATTGGCTTTTATAATTTTCATTTAGTATTAGCCACTATATTCTTTTTTTCTATTTTTCCTTACCATCTGAAGTGCCAAGTCCTATTTCACTTTCCCTTTGCCTATAAGCAAGCAGTTAATCAAAAAGAAGCACTAAAACCACAGAGAAATGGGAATAGTGTAGAAGAGAAAAAACTAGGCTTGCTAAGGGAGCTGAAGAGACCAGAGAAGAGGAAAATTGGAGACAATCTTCTGTATCCACCTACCACATCCTTCAGTGCTTATTCCATCGTCTGTTCAGAGAAAGATATAAGGTAAGGAGTCTTCATCCAGTATGACCTCTGCTCCCAAGAATTAACAGGGGTGAGCAGGCATCTCTCTGTGCCTCTGTAAACACTGAAGCTTGGGTGGGGAAAAAAAAAGCATACATTTCTAAAAAGCCCGATAACTATTGAGCCTCTCTGCTAAAAGACACAGAAGAAGAGACCCACAAGTGGGTTGACTTGTATGTGGACTTGCATGTGGTTTCTACTATGTAAATGGAAATATCCAGTAATCACTCAGATGAAATTATTCCTTCTGACGGAACCATGGCCATCCCAGCTACAACCCTGTTAATGCTGAATATTTTCTGCTCTTCCCAGAGCTCTTTTTCTTACAGTCTGTAGAGTAAATCTGTACAAAAGTCTGAAGGCAGAAAGCCTCCACATAGCAGCTTGAGGATCTTGATGTTTGAGCCAAAGAGCTGATGTTACATCTGAAGAAAAATTTGGAGGAGTAACAGCAAACAGGCTTTGGGAAAATTTCTTTCTCCTAATCATAGAATGGCCTGGGTTGAAAAGGACCTCAAAGATCATTTTAATTTCAACCCCTTGCCATGGGCAGGGTCATCAAACACTAGACCAGGCTGCCCAGAGCCACATCCAGCCTGGCCTTGGGTGTCTTCTGGACTAGGGCACTCACAACCTCTCTGGGCAACCTATTCCAGTGAACAGGTTTCTCCTTGAAAGTATTTGGTGAGTTCTGTGATAAACGAGGGAACATCCACCAAACACACAGTACTCATGCCTTACCCATCCTCCTCTTGTCCACAGCTCTGCAAAGAGTGAGGGATGCAAGCTCAGGTTACCCCTGCACTCAGGCATCCTTTGAAGGAATGGGAGGGAAAAATCAGTCAGCCTGCCCTGCGGAACAAAATTCACAACAAAAGGATCTGTTTAAAACCGTTTTCTGATGTCACTCAATTCCTTTCATGAAATCATCATCATTGATGCCTGTTGCTATAACAACATGTTAATCTTTCTTCACTATTACTCATGCAACACAAATGCCCACAGACATGTCACTATTGTGAAGTACACCTGTAAAATGTTCATTTAAAAATCTCTTATGTGCAGTGTCTCAATGGGATGAAGCACATTTATTTACAGAAACATCATTTCTTGAAGAAAAGCCAGCTCCAATTCATCCTAAGCAGCCTGAGTGGAAAAAAATAAGGAAACCGGAGAAAAGAGCATTCTTTGAGTGAATCAGCATTTTCAGTGAACACTTTTCTCTTTGTTTTTTTTTTTTTTTTCTTCAGTATTTCCAAAATTCTTTTAAGAGCTCACAGTAACCAGCTGTTTTCTGCCTTTTGAGTTTCATTCTGCATAAGGGGTTGCAAACTGAAGCTGAAGCAGCTTCAGCTATTGTGGTCAGTTCTGTGGCTTTCTGTGTTTGTACGTATTTAGGAATGCTGATTAAAAAGAGCAAGTGCCTTAAAGATCAGAGTTTATCTTTTTTTTTTCTGGACGTTATTAAGTTCATGTCGAACATCTGCCTCTTTGGTAACATCAAAGGCAGAAAGACGTCAATACAACAGGCTGTGTCATCGATGGGAAATCTGCTTCAGCAGTGCTTAATATGCCATTAATGCGTGAGGACCACAAGGCTCTGGTTTGGGGGCCAGAACAAGGGGGGTTGTGCTGGACTTGGTAGCTTTTAGATATAGTGCAGAAGGAGGTATAGCTGTGCCACCAGTTGAGGTACACCTTTAGTTAATTCAGTAAATATTGTCTGAGTGTCAGAAGGATATACGCTACATTCATTAAACAGGCACAAGCTTTCAGATAGCTCATTTAATTTTACTTTTCTGTAAAGAAAAGATATATATATATTTAATAAACAGATGTTTCAAGGAAAAAAAAATGGACTAAATCCAGAGAAACACACTGAATAGATGAAAATATCGTTTCATAAAATAGTTTTATGCTTCAATAAAAGCAAAGAGTTCAGCTTAAGTCCCCATGCAGTCATATTCACAAAACACAAGTGAAGGTACAGGATCTGTGAGTCACTGTTTCTCCTGGCAGGTTTCTGAAATGTGGGCTGACAGCACTTGGCACGGCCAGTATGATATCACAACAACCAGAGTAAATAGTTGCAGAAATCTTTTTCAGCCCTAGTTGGAGATCAGCAAATGCAGCTATGGGAGAACTGACATTGCCTGACTGCTGCATCTGAAATAAAGCCTTTTTTTAATTCTTGTTTCTGTGTCACTATTGCTTGAGTGAGCTGTTTTCTGTTTCTTTTCAGTTATGTGGCCTGACCTCAGTATTTTGTGAATAATATTGCCAGCACTCTTAACTTCCTTAGAAACCAAGGAGGGTGGTGAGATTTCACTTGGGGAATAGAAGCAAAAGATTTGTACTCAAGAGCCCAAAGCAACACATCAGTGACCTGAGTACAAAATAAGTTTGATTGAGCTGGGCACACCTGGGTGTGCATTTGAATCAGATCCTTCCTTCTCCTTCAGGCTCTACACCCACCACAGCACCTCTGGCTCTGGCTCTGACTGGCTTACAGAGTAGCCAAGGATTTGCAGCAGTTCTGTGCTGCTACTTTAGGAGGCAGCAGGAGGATGCAAAATACTCCAGTGGCCCCTGCAACTTTGAAACACTTTAAGTTGTTCTGAGCTTGATGATAGATGGAGACTTCATTCATTGGGTGACTTTGTCAGCAGGAATTTTAGTAAGTTAGGGGGGATAGAGGTGGAGAATGGTTCCTTCTGATGGAAACCTGCCAGAAGAGCATTTACTTTCAGGTCAGTCTGCATATTTGCATAGATGGGGCACATGGGAGATGCAGAATTTGTGATGATGGGCACCTCATCAGCTCTCTTGGAATTACCAGGCTGCTTCTCTTTCTGCCACAGACATCAAATGGTGACTGAATCAGCTATGCCTTATCTGAAACTCGACTAAAGGTATCTGTGTGAAAGTATTCAGTTATTATTTCCTTGATATTTGGTTATCAGTGCCTCGCTAACAGTGAACAAACCCCACCAACACTCCTTCCAGGTCTGGTCCGCACCAATACATATCCTTCTGTTTTTGGTGAAAAACACTGAATGGAGAATGATGCATAATTTCTATGCTGTGCCTGTCAGACTCCACACACTAATGCTCTCTGTCACTTCCCTTCCATGTACTTATGAATATTGCTCTTTGTTTGATGATTTTTTTCCATTTTCTTTTGTCAGGTTGTCACAATAAATTGTAACTCTCAGAAATGTATTGCAAGTAATTGCCAGATATTTTTATGTGCCATGCTTGAGCTGCAGCTTAATCACTGAAGATCACTGTGAAATTTTGATAAAACTTTATTTAATCACTTCAAAATCTGCTTGGAACTAGAAACAGAAATTAAGTGATGTGTTGCAGGTTCCCATTTGTATTAACATGTACACTCAACGCTCTGTAATAATAAGACATAAGATTTTGCTGATAGTTTGTGCTTCCTTGCTGTAATGTGCTATAAGGTGACTTAACAAACTTTTAACAGGCCTCCAACATATATTATTCTCCTAAAAAGTTGTGAATATTCATTCAATTTTAAAAAAGTACAGGAGTTAAACACATGAGCATGCATCTACTGGAATGTTTGGGGATTTTTCTGTACGGTAAAACTATGATCAATAGTGAAGGTTTTTTATTGTTCACTATGGAAGATTTAATAATGGCTTATAAAGGGTGGCTCTTTCTCGTACTTGGAGATACTATGTACCCAGGAAGAAATACGTGATTGGATGAAAATTTGTAAACTGAGATCATAGACCTTTTTTCAAGGGATAGCATTCAATTCCCAAGGCTGTTGCAACAACTTTCTGCAGTCTGTATGATAATTTCTTTCAGTTTTCTAGAGGGAAGATATTCCTGCTTTCTTCTGAATTGGAAGGTTAATGTTTCCACAATATGGGATTACCTTGTCCTGTGGATTGTCTCTAATGCCTTTGATATATGAACCCACAGACGTACTTCTCTCTGTGCTGGTAGTGAAAGGCTAGCCTGTAAAACAATCCTTGTTCACTGATAAAAAGCACACTCCAATTTCTGAATTCTAGGGGGGATTACAGATACACAAAGAATCTGTCTGCCAAAAACATATCATCCTGTTGGTCTGATTTCTCGGATTATCAAATTGCACTAATATTGATCAGTTGGCCTTAATGGAACCAAGAAATTTAATTGTATTATTGCAAAGGGTTATTCCCAAAGAACACAGCTCTATGCAAAATCCCTGGAGAAAAATACAAAGCATAGTATGCTCTTGCTTTGCTTTCTGAGTGTTTCTGACAATTGGGAATGGCTAACAACCTTCACAGTCAGATGCTCCTGATAAGATTTCAGTGTTACACAATCATGCTCTTGTTCTGCTGGGATTGCCTGCCTTGCCAGGCAATCGTTCTCACGATTCTCCTCCAGTAGCAGTCTTTCCTATGAAGGGAGAGCTCTTTTCCACCACAAAGTGTTCTTGTCTTATCCAGAGGTGAGGATATCAAAATGGTTTGAGGCTTCTTGCAAACTGTTTGAACTCTGCACAGAAAGCAATATGCACTGTATGAAACATTCATTATACATCTATTTTTCCCTGCTTGTATTACCTAGCTGATTACACCCTTTACATAAGGATGGCATATAATGTAGTAAAAATGTAAATTTGACACTTAGATTGCTGAGTCTCTGTTTC